TTCAGTTTTATTAAGAAAACTTAGTAATAACCGCTATTTCAGCTTCAGTTTTACTAAGAAACTTTGTAATAACCGTTATCTTAGCTTCATAACTATTTTATTAGTAAATGTTTTCAAAGTTGCAGATGTAATTTTTTACTAGGTTTCTTAGTAAAAAATATTTCTGAAGCTGTGAAGATATTTTTACTATATTTTCTTAGTAAAATAACATTTCTGAAGCTATATAAGCGTTTTTTACTATATTTTCTTAATAAAATAATATTTTCGAAGCTGCATAAGCGTTTTTTACTATGTTTTCTTAGTAAAATAATATATCTGAAGCCACGGAGGCGTTTTTTACTATGTTTTCTTAGTAAAATAATGTTTCCAAAACTGTGAAAGTGTTTTTTTCTATTTACTTAGTAAAATAATATCCCTGAAGCTGTGAATGCGTTTTTTACTATGTTTTCTTAGTAAAAATGGCATTTTCAAAGCTGTAGAGATACATTTTGCTATAGTTTTTAGTAAAAAAAGTATTTTCAAAGCTATAGAGCTACTTTTTGCCATAGTTTTCTTAATAAAAGGCATTTTCAAAACGTCATTTTGTTTCTTGATTTTTGATGGACTTCTGAAAGGTAAGTAGTATAGCATAAAAGTTATTATATATATCAGGTTTGCAAAAATCGTAAATTCAAATATACAGTTACTTTATTCTTCAATATTCTTGTCTTTTTCCAAGAACAAACAGTATAGTATAATATTTTGATATATTAATTGTGATTAAAAATGGGCTAGAATGTCTTTATTAATCAATGTTATTCTTGATATCAGAGAGGTCATTCCTAGTCAAATTTGATATCAACATATTTGATTAGCTAGATTTGAATTAAATTATGTTAGAAATTTGAATTTAATAGTTGATTCATATAGTTAGAATTGATTCGTGAATAAATAGTAAACTTTCTGTGCACTATTTGGAAATTTTGTCTCAGAAATCCCATTTTGTTTCTACTATAATTGATTTGATTTATTTTTCTATTATCAAATTTAATTTTAGTTTAATTTAATATAAGTTCGATATTGATTTAACATAATTTATATTCTAGATAAACATTTTTTATATTTTTTATTATAGAAAATAGAAAATAATAATTATATATTTTTTTACCTTTTAATATTGGTAAAATAGTTTGGATTGCATATATTGTATAGTTTAGAATGTAATAATTAAACCAATTATATATTAACTTAATTTTAAGTAATTAAATAATTAAATATTGTAATCTATTGTAATTTAAATGATTTAAACATTATATTTCTTTGCTAGAAAAAACTATAAATACATTATAGAAATATATGAAATTGTAATGATTATTACAATAAATAACTTATTATTTAAATGTTATAATGCTAAATTTCAATAGTAATTGTGAATGTATAGATAAAAAGGAAGTTTTCAAACCTGAAATTTACTTATATATCACAAGTAATATTTCTATTTTTTTATTATTTTAATAATAGCTGTTATATTGTTTATTGCAGTTCAATATATGTAGTAATTTATGTTTAGGTTATTCAGAAATTTTGACTTATGATTAAAGATAGTATTGCAACTGATTGAAAAATCTATCTTTACTTATAAGACAATCTAATAGTATGATAAGAATTAGAATCTTGAAATTCTATTAAAGTATTTTTCAATATTTTCAATAACTTGATTTATTTTATATAATTGATACATTGGTTTTAAAGGTATAGGAATTTTTTGAAAATATTCTATTTGACAACGTTGCTTTGCACTTTTAAGGCATTTTTAAAAAATAAAGATATGCTTTAATTTGTTATTTTATGACTTATTTATAAACTTTTTTTTTTTAATAATAGAAATAAATAAATAAAGTATTTATTTGTCTAATTATAAATATAAAATATTGTTTCCGAAAAATTAACAAAAATCATTTTTCGAAAATTTAATAAAACAACAAAGTCATAATGGCAGCGCAGTAAATAAAGTAATTATTTACCTTTTTCTCTCCCAATTTATAATTATTTAACAATTATAATTTTTATATTTATAATATTTATTGTTTCATATGAAACAATAATCTTGATTTTAGCAAATTGGCGCATCAAAATATTTGGAATATTATTTACTATCGTTATGAAATTATTGTTCGTATTTACTAATTATTAAATTTAATTTCATTATTCAAAATTCAAAAACTTTCACTTCCAAAAGGGACTTGAAATTTTATCCTAATATTTTGTACACCAAACCTGAGATTAGCTATCATAGTTTGATGATTTAATCGAAAGAACAAAAAGTATTCTACGCGATCTATGCACGAACCGACGAAAAATTTTAATTAAAAATAAGTGTCTTTTTAGACAAGATGAGGATTTTATTTTTTTTTTTTTTAAATACAAAATTTCTAAAATCCGAATAAAAATATTTAAAAGGTTGTGTGTATGCGGTGTTTAATATTTAATAAGGGAATCCTTTCCTTGTAAGGATTCCTGTTTTAAATACTTTGATCGATTAAATTAAAGTAGATCGTCCGCACGAAGATTTAATATAAAAACTATATAAAAATAAAGGGTGAATAAAATAATAAAATATAAATTTATACAATATCTAATTTCTAATTGGTATAGGCCAAAAATTCTTTAGTTCTAATAAATTTAGGAATAGAATCAGTAGCCACCAATCTGAAAATAACATCTTGAATCTCATCATATAAATGACTGGTGATAGGTTTTATTTTAGGTGGTTGATCCGAAGCAGAAGATTTCGCACGCCTATCATAATTATGTCCCGAAGCAATTGAAGTCATATATCGAGTCATCGATCGTCTTAAATTGAAATCGATATTAAGTTCATTAAGAGAAGCGGGAGCTAAATAGGTGTTATAAATTCTAAAAGCATCGGAAATTAAATTAAATTGTTCTTTAGGATCTCTACATTCTCCATTATCATTAACATTTGTATTATATCTAATTTGAAAATTTTTAACGTCTAATAAAAATAATAAATTTTCTTCACATAGTGTGCATTTTAAAAAGTTCATAAATAGGGAACATAGATTTGAATCATCCAAAATTTGTTGTAGTCTTTTGGTATTTGATTCTTTAATCCCATGATTTTCAATGAACGAACTTCTTTGTGATTTATTATCATCATTTAATTGTGGTGATAAATTTATTCCTGAATCTTTCTTTGCTGGTAAATGTTCATACTCCCATAAAGCAAGTTGTCGACCTTCTTCCGTGATGTTATAATATGTGGATTTTGAATATTTAAATAATGAACGATCTCGCTTATTTGATTTTTTTTTTGCATCATTCACTTTACTATTAATTGGTTCTAATAGACCTAAACGAATAAATTCGGTCGCAACTTTCATCGCCTCTTCTTTTGAAATTAAGGTTGTAAAATCACATAACCAGTCACAAGAAATCGCACCGGAAAATGTGTAATAATAACTTATATTATTAATATAACGTACTTTAAGTCCTATACCAAGATTCCAATCAACCGAAAGCATTGTTGAGTCTTCTGACGAATCTCCATATTTATTTATAAAGTTCGGTCTTGGACCAGCAAACCTTCTAAAAATCGATTCAACATGTTGTTTTGATAAATTAATGGAATCAGTTTCAGGATCTCTTTCCAAGGCGAATAATCTGATTTGAGTTGGTTGTACAAAAAAGATTTTTGTCAAATGAGGGGCTGTTATACCATTTCTTGATACAAATCTTTCTAATATGTATATTCCTTTTGGGGTAAGTCCATAAATACTTTTATCCCTAAATGTTCTACTATAAGTATCGGATAAATTTTCAAATAATCTTGCATCCAGAAATGTCTGACATATAGATTTTGCCATATCTTTTACCATACTGAATGTTGTTGTGGTGGTGGTGGTTATGATTCTTGTTGGATTATTTGGATCTTGACTACGACTTGATTGTGTAAATTTTAATGATCCTAAATTCGCTATGGTTTCTTCCGTTGTAAATGAGTTTGCATAATTTTTAAACAAAGTTCGATGCGTTTCCATTGGT